AACCCCCAAAATCAATCCCCACCTTCCTTTTGTGGTATTGAACCTTATGGTAAAATTTCATTGAGATCCTTTCACTTAAACTAAAGTTAGAGTGCGAAAACTAATGTGTCTTCGGACGACGACGCCGGACAACGACGACAACGACGATGACCCCAATGTCACACCAATATACGACCACAAAAATTTTTTGGCGGTCGTATAAAAAAGGAAAATTAACAATAGGGATAGAAGAATCGTCCCTTTTGTCGTAATTTTTATGTAGATTTTCTGGTATAAAACTGAAATATCTAAATCTAGGAAAGGACAGTTATTATCGTTTATATTTGATTTATTTAAAGTAAGTTCCTTTGGGTAAATTTCGGCAGTATATTTAGATATTAAGAATATTTAACGAAAAAATATCATCAAGATAACGATAGGTCTTGCTGAATTTATCAATTCAATGCAATTTAGACGGGTCTTTACTGAGTTTGGTCATAAACTGTAATTTATAACAGTACAAGAACAACTCTGCTAATAAAGGGGAGCAATTGGTGCCCATAGGAATACCTACAACCTGTCGACACACTTTATCGCCGAAACGTACACAAATCTTATCAAGGAGAAAATTAAATGCTTCAATCATCTCATCATACCTCCAGTAAGTATATCTAGTATATTTACCCTTATTAGAGAAGGCTTTTAATGAGTTGCAGCAAATATATTTGCAATAGGATTTTCAAACGACCATTTATTTAAATAGGAAAACTTTTGTTTGATAAGATTGTGTGGAAATGTAGTGTTTAGAGTTGAAAAGTCAAAATTGTCTGCAGAATCAAAAGGACCATCAAAAACACACAATATTTCTAACACATCCAAAGAATTTTTTTAACTCCAAAAATAGTTAATTCCACTATTTTCATATGTTTTATTACAATAGTTGATGATAAGTTCTTTGATAGTAGTCAAGAAATTATTTAAAAGCACTGGAAAGATTAGTTGTAGAACACTTAATAGAGGCAGAGTATTATATTTTCACTTTTTGTACACAATTATTTCCTGCATTTTGTGTTGCAGAATATTCATTTTTAATTCTGTCTTTGGCAAAGCCTATTTTTAGATCATACCAGGCCAGGATATACATTTTTAAATTCCTCATGTCCCCCTCCCGAAAATCAAAATTGTTGTCCCCTAAATATGAAATAAGGGTATTGTCATCCTTTTGACCTATCTTTGTAATGAATACAATGTTGATGTAGTCGTATTATTAAATGAATCTCGTATCAAACAGTTAAATCTTAACCTTAGGGCAGATTAACATACAGATGTACAGATTGTGTCTCCTGCTGTACAACAGCAAATGGTCACAGCAAATGTTTACTTACAAACAAAATTAAGTCTGCTGTTTTCAGAAAATATCCTTTTTTTAATAACAATGTCTGCTTGTTTCGTGTTGTTAGGGGTCATCAAGGAATAATAAATATACCACTTCTTGTAAAATTGATACCATTTGACTTTTTATATGATAGTTTGGTCAGAATATTTTATTATTTGTGTTTTTTTTTCAGTAATGCCACATTTGGTATCAGTAACAATTTTTAAAACTACACAATGTAAATGTGATAGTAATAAGTTTGCTTCAAATGGATCCCAGAGTAAAGAAATATGGTTACTTCTTTCATAGATAGGTCAAATAAGGAGAAAGATACCAAAACAGTAAGTTGATGAAAAACAAGTACATTGTTTTTTTTTTTCCTTCACTGCAGTCAGTTATGTTTGTTTATTTAAATATCTTCTTTAGTGTCATTTTTGTAAGTCTTGTATTGATGATCATTTTTATTGTTTACAGTTGATACCTACCTGGTATCTATTAAAATTTTGGAGATAAAAACGTCATTTGTAAATCTTACTATGCTGAACATTTTTGCTTTTTTACTGTTTAATAAAATGCTTCGCTGGGGCGCAGCTTGATACGACCGCAGAGGTCGAACCTTGAACAGTTGGGGCAAGTATGGACACAACATTCAAGCTTGATACAGCTCTGAATTTGGATTGTTATTAAATATTTGACACAGCATAGGTTTCTGACACAGAAAGAATGTGGTCTAAGAACTTGAATTTTTTTAATTTACCTATTATGGTCCAATGTCCAAAATCAAAATACATGGTTAGATTCAGCATATCAAAGAACCCCATATATTCAATTTTTGTTAAAATCAAACAAAGTTTAATTTTGGACCCCAACTTGGACAAACTTGAAAACTGGGCCCATAATCAAAAATCTAAACACATGTTTAGATTCAGCATATCAAAGAACCCCAAGAATTCAATTTTTGCTAAAATCAAACTAAGTTTAATTTTGGACCCTTTGGACCTTAATGTAGACCAATTTAAAAAACGGGACTTAAAATTAAAAATCTAAATACACGGTTAGATTTGGAATATCAAAGAACCCCAATAATTCAATTTTTGATGAAATCAAACAAAGTTTCATTTTGGACCCTTTTGACCTCAATATGAACCAATTTGATAGCGGGGCCCACAAATAAAAAATCTAAATTCATGGTTAGATTCAGCACATCAAAGAACCCCATATATTCAATTTTTGTTGAAATCAAAAAAAGTATAATTTTGGACCCCAACTTGGACCAACTTGAAAACTGGGCCCATAATCAAAAATCTAAACACATGTTTAGATTCAGCATATCAAAGAACCCCAAGAATTCAATTTTTGTTAAAATCAAACTAAGTTTAATTTTGGACCCTTTGGACCTCAATGAAGACCAATTTAATAAACGGGACCCAAATTAAAAATCTAAAAACACGGTTAGATTTGGCATATCAAAGAACCCCAATAATTCAATTTTCGATGAAATCAAACAAAGTTTAATTTTGGACCCTTTTGACCTCAATATGAACCAATTTGATAGCGGGGCCTACAAATAAAAAATCTAAATACATGGTTAGATTCAGCATATCAAAGAACCTCATATATTCAATTTTTGTTGAAATCAAACAAAGTTTAATTTTGGACCCCAATTTGGACCAACTTGAAAACTGGGCCCATAATCAAAAATCTAAATACATGTTTAGATTCAGCATATCAAAGAACCCCATATATTCAATTTTTGTTGAAATCAAACAAAGTTAAAATACTGGACCCTATCTTGGACCAACTTGAAAACTGGGCCCATAATCAAAAATCTATACACATGTTTAGATTCAGCAAATCAAAGAACCCCAAGAATTCAATTTTTGTTAAAATCAAACTAAGTTTAATTTGGACCCTTTGGACCTCAATGTAGACCAATTTAAAAAACAGGACCCAAAATTAAAAACCTAAATACACGGTTAGATTTGGAATATCAAAGAACCCCAATAATTCAATTTTAGATGAAATCAAACAAAGTTTAATTTTGGACCCTTTTGACCTCAATATGAACCAATTAGATAACGGGGTCCACAAATAAAAAATCTAAATACATGGTTAGATTCAGCATATCAAAGAACCCCATATATTCAATTTTTGTTGAAATCAAACAAAGTTTAATTTTGGACCCCAATTTGGACCAACTTGAAAACTGGGCCAAAAATCAAAAATCTAAATACATGTTTAGATTCAGCATATCAAAGAACCTCATATATTCAATTTTTGCTAAAATCAAACAAAGTTTAATTTTGGACCCTTTGGACATTAATGTAGACCAATTTGAAAACTGGACCCAAAATTAAAAATCTAAATACACTGTTAGATTCGGCATAACAAATAAATAAATGTGATCAAAGATTTTACAAATCTAATGCGCCATACTGTGCAATTAAAGATTACTTCTTGAAATTTTTCAATATTTGAAATTTGAAAAAAAAATAATATTTGAAGAATAATTCTTTTTAATTTCTGAAATCTGAAATGAGAAAAAATTGGCCCCCCCACAATTTCTTTTTATCCCCCCCCCCCCCCCCCCTTTTTCCCCCAAAAAAATTCTTTCCCTCAAGATATGGTCATAATCTCAATTCAAATTTCCAATGGAGTTGGCAACCATAATTACCCATTTAAATTTACCATAGTGCTAACTTAATCTATTTTATAATAGAATTAATAAAAATATAGTGTCAAATCTTTCATATGGATTTTTTTGTAAAAAAAAAAGATGAAAACATTTGCAGATATTTTTACTGGTCTTCCTTTATAAATATGCATTTCTTTAAACATAATTTAAAAGCAGTGTAAGGGAAGTAACCAAAACGTTGTATTTGGATTACCTCCCTTACACTGTTTTAGATTATCTTTATTGTTCATTAACCATTACTTTATACATAATTTAAAAGCAGTGTAAGGGAGATAATTTCAATGATGTATTTGATTTATCTCCCTTACACTGCTTTAAATTATGTTTTGTACTAAAGTATTTGTCCATTAACCAGGACAACCTTGTTTTTCCCCCTTTTTTGCCCCTAATTCCTAAACGGTTTGAGCCATAACCCCCCAAAGCAAATCCTAACCATCCCTTTGTGGTATGGAAACTTGTAGTATAATTTCAGAGAGATCCATACACCGTTCCACAGTTATTGTCTGGAAACTAGAAAATGCTCATTTTTGGCCCCTTTTTGGCCCCTAATTCCTTAACTGTTGGTACCATAACCCCCAAAATCAATCCCAACCTTCCTTTTGTGGTATTTAACCTTATGGTCAAATTTCAAAAAGATCCATTCACTTTAACTAAAGTTAGAGTGCGAAAACCAATATGTATTCGGACGACGACGACGACGCCAACGTCATACCAATATACGACCACAAAATTTTTTTGCGGTCGTATAAAAATTGCTTACATGCTACAACTCATCATTATCAAGCTTCAGAACAAATATAGAATCATTCCCTTCAATAGAATCTAACAAAACATAGAAAACAAGACATAGTTTTCTAAGTCTTTAGGACGGGCAGAATCGAGCAGTTACTAGACCTGCTTTAACCTTCGGTGACCAGGTAATAATGAATAAAAAATTAAAAAGACACAACCTATAATAAAAAATTGCATTCTTTAATTACAAATAAAAAATTCATCTCTCAAAAACATTTACTCATTCATCTAACAGACTTTCTTAGTCATAAAAACTATCAACAAAATCAGTACAACACTAACATGAAAGAACTATGGCAAAGTTAAAATAATAAGGCTGTATCAACTGCTTGTTATCTTCTCTAATGTTCTTTGTCCCCAGTAGGACTCCAGATCAAAAGGCTTAAAATCTGAAGAAAAAAAAACATTAAAGAATGATTATTGTTTTCAATTTTACATCATCGAGTACAACAATCTGTTTGCATTGAACATTATCACATGATTATTACTAGATTTATTCACACATTTCAACAACATCATTCTTTTAACATGTTTTTAGATATAAACTATTCAATATATGACAAAACAACTGTATCGCTGTATCTACTAAATGAATGTTTCATTCTATATTAAGTAGCTATCTTATAAAAAAGTCAAGAACTTGCATTACCTTTAAAAACGTTTTTGCAAAGTCAAGGGAACTCATGTTCAATTGGGATAAAATGTACTTTTTCACTATATGTCTCGTGGTTTAAATTTGTTAAAATTATTTTAAATGAAATTTTTTAACACATATAAATTACAGACAATGACCTAAAACAGACACTAAGCGCTTTTAGTCAGGTGGGCTAAAAAGTAAAGGTGAAAATGGGAAATAACTCCTGAACTTCATAAATAATTCTTTAACTTAAATGTGTTTACATTACAACATCTGAACTTCATAAATAATTCTTTAACTTAAATGTGTTTACATTACAACTCATGAACTTCATAAATAGTTCTTTAACTTAAATGTGTTTACATTACAACTCAGTAATACATCTATCTTTCACACAGCACTCTCTGGTAAAAAATTAAATTTCTTCTTTAGTCAACCATTATATTCTTAAACAAAATCTAACAGCATATTAATCTTCACTACTTACTTTTCAGAACAGGATTATTTGGATCTTTGTCTCTGTATACAATTGGACCACCTAGAATAATATATAAATTATTAATTTTTTGCAACATTAAGATTGTATGCTATGGACTAATCAATGTCCCCTGCCAATATGAAGGTTATATTACTAAAGCAGCACTTTCAGATGACAATCAACATGATCAAGACCAAAACTTATCTAGTCAATAAATGATGTTTTTTTTTTATTTGTTATAAAGATCACAATTTTTTTTGAAAGAGAAAAATTCACAAGAGGAAAAATTGCTACAGAAATGTAGCGAACTTAATTACATGAGCGCAGCCTGATAAGGCCGCAGAGGTCGAAACCCTGAACAGTTTGGGCAAATTTTGACACAATATTCAAGCTTGATACTGTCTGAATTTGGATTGTGATCAAATTTTTGACATAATATAAGTTTCTGACACAAAATAAATGTGGTCAAAGATCTTACAAATATATTGTGCAATACTGTCGATTGAAGATTTCTTCTTGAAACTTTTCAAAAATTCGAAAAATTTTGAAAAAAAATATGAATGCCTTAAAAAAATTGGAACCCCCCCCCCCTTGGAGCAATAACCCCAAAACTCAATCCCAGCCTTTCCTTTCATAGTATGGAACATTGTAGTACAATTTCAGAGAGATCCATACACTAAAACACAAGTTATTGTATGGAAACTAGAAAAATGCTTGTTTTTGGTCCTTTTTTGGCCCCTAATTCCTACATGTTATGGGCAATTAACCCCAAACTCAATCACAGCCTTCCCTTTGTTATATGGAACCTTGTGGTACAATGTCAGAGAGATCCATACACTTACACACAAGCTATTGTCTGGAAACTAGAAAAATGCTTGTTTTTGGCCCCTTTTTGGCCCTTAATTCCTAAACTGTTGGCCCATAACCCCTAAAATGAATCCCAACCTTTTACTTGTGGTATTAAACATTGTGGTACAATTTCAGAGCAATCGAAATACTCATACACAAGTTATTATCCTGAAACTAGAAAAATGCTTGTTTTGGGCCCCTTTTGGGCCCCTAATTCCTAAACGGTTAGGACCATCATCCCCAAAATCAATCCCAACCTTCCTGTTGTGGTATTAAACCTTCTTAAAAAACTTCATAGAGATCAATTCACTAAAACTAAAGTTATTGTCCGGAAACCAATGTGTCTTCAGACGACTACGCAGACGACGACACCATACCATTATACGATCCCAAAATTTTTTTTGCGGTTGTATAAAAATTTACCATAAAAAAAACATAGGATGAATGTTCTCCTCAGTAGAGACTTTTAGCATCTTTAAGTAATGTAATGCTATCTAAAATGATTATCTAATAATTTGTGTTATGGATGTGATGCTATAATTTCTTGATTGATTGTTGGTGTTTAACACCACTTAAGCACTATTGGCTTTTTGTGGCCATCAGTTTTTATTGGTGGAGGAAGCTGGAGTCCCGGAGATAACCACCTATCTTTGGCAGGATAAATGACAATCCTAGTCAATTAAGATTGAAGTCCAACACACCTGCCAAGTGCAGGATTGAACTCACAACCTCAGTGTATTTACTGTGTTCTGACAGGATAGTATTCAGTAGATGAAATACTTAGATCACTGAGCCACTGAGGTCCCCTTACAATTTCTTGAAACCAGATGTATTCCAAAATTCCCTTTTACCAGGATGCTAACTAATTGATTTGTGGGGAGAACAGTGAGTGATATTTAAGAATAAAATGCTTCGTTGGGCACAGCTTGATACAACCGCAGAGGTCGAACCCTGAACAGTTGGGACAAGTATGGACACAACATTCAAGCTTGATACAGCACTGAATTTGGATTGTGATAAATATTTGACACAGCATAGGTTTCTTGACACAGAATGAATGTGGTCTAAGAACTTAAAAATTTTTAATTTACCTATTCAAACCATATCATTATTATTTGCTTTTATATATAAATCAGAAATAACCAATTTAAAATGGAAAATTTTAAAGAAAAAAAAGGAAAAAAAGAATCCCTCCCAAGGCTTCCAAAATGGTCATATATTCTGGACAATTGTATAATGTCCGGTAAAAGTCTGGCTGGGCAAAGCATGAAACGGTCATCTACTTTTTAGTTGTCAAGGCTTTCTTAAGAGACGGTCATTTTAGCACAATTCGATCTTTTTGACCCAACCTTTTGCCTTTAACAGCCACACATTTCCGGTCATAAAAGTGACATGATGATTAATTACCATCAAAACAACCCCTACTTCAATACTTTCTAATTTTAATCAAGACTAATTAGTTGTTGGACAGCTGAAATCTACCTGTTCAGGTGACAGGTAAACTATTTCCAGTACCAGACATCGTATAAATTGATTGGTCTATTCAAAGTTAATTTCTTACATTTCAGCGGTTTCTATCTAATTGATTTAGTCCAAAAGATTGAAATTATAAGAAATACGTTAATAAAATTGATTTGATGAAAAATTTAAAAAGGTTTTAAATGAAAAATTGTTGTATGAACTAGAACATGTGTGCGCATGTGAGCAGTAGGGAAATTTAATTATGCATCCTACATTTCTTAATAAAATGCTCCGCTGGGGCGCAGCTTGATATGACCGCAGAGGTCGAACCCTGAACAGTTGGGGCAAGTATGGACACAACATTCAAGCTTGATACAGCACTGAATTTGGATTGTAATTAAATATTTGACACAGCATAGGTTTCTGACACAGAATGAAAGTGGTCTAAGAACTTAAAAATTTTTAATTTCAATTTTTTGAACCCCCTTATGATTCATCACCCCCAAACTCAATCCCAGCTTTCCCTTTGTGGTATGGTACCTTGCAGTACAATTTCAGAGAGATCCATACACTTGAACACAACTTATTGTCTGGAAACTAGAAAAATGCTTGTTTTTTGCCCCTTTTTGGCCCCTAATTCCTAAAATTTTGAGGCGATTACCCCCAAAATCAATCCCAGCCTTCCCTTTGTGGTATGGTACCTTGCAGTACAATTTCAGAGAGATCCATACACTTGAACACAAATTATTGTCTGGAAACTAGAAAAATGCTTATTTTTGGCCCCTTATTCCTAAACGTTTTGGGCAATTACCCCCAAACTTAATTCCAGCTTTCCCTTTGTGATATGGAACCTTGTAGTACAATTTCAGAAAGATCCATACACTTACACACAAGTTATGTCTGGAAGTTACAAAAATGCTTATTTTTGGCCCCTTTTTCCTTAACTGTTGGTACCATAACCCCCAAAATCAATCCCAACATTCCTTTTGTGGTATTGAACCTTATGGTAAAATTTCATAGAGATCCATTCACTTAAACTAAAGTTAGAGTGCGAAAACCAATGTGTCTTCGGACGACGACGCCGAGGTCATACCAATATACAACCACAAAAATTTTTTTGCGGTCGTATAAAAAATCCAAAATGTCATATTGTCTTTTAAAAAATAGTTATTTCCCTTTGAACAAAAATCTACTAATTAATAAGTATTTCACCAAAAATTTAATTCTAGGGAAAGGGCTTTAACTGAACAAAGAGAAAAGCTAAAATCGTGAAAATTGAACTTGACCTGTAACTTAACATGATAAATCAACAAGAGTGCACACGCTGAAATGTCTCGCCTTCTTTACTAATCATTGATATTATGTTGATAGTCCTAAATATAAAGCTTTATTACAACTGTCACATAAACTTAACATTAACCAAGTAAACTAAACATTGACTAATGAACCATGAAAATGAGGTCAAGGTCAGATGAACCATGCTAGGCAGGCATGTACAGCTAACAATTCTTCCATACAACAAATATAGTTGACCTATTGCTTATAGTTTAAGAAAAACAGACGAAAACACAAAAACTTAACACTGAGCAATGAACCTTGAAAATGAGGTCAAGGTCAAATAAAACCTGCGTGACTGACATATAGATCATAAAATATTTCCATACACCAAATATAGTTGAACTATTGCATATAGTATTAGAAAAAAAGACCAAAACTCAAAAACTTAACTTTGACCACTGAACCATGAAAATGAGGTCAAGGTAAGATGACACCTGCCAGCTAGACATGTACACCTTACAATCATTCCATACACCAAATATAGCTGACCTATTGCATGCAGTATTAGAAAAAAAGACCAAAACTCAAAAACTTAACTTTGACCACTGAACCATGAAAATGAGGTCAAGGTCAGATGACACCTGCCAGCTAGACATGTACACCTTACAATCATTCCATACACCAAATACAGTAGACCTATTGCATACAGTATAAGAAAAACAGACCAAAACACAAAAACTTAACTATAACCACTGAACCATGAAAATGAGGTCAAGGTCAGATGACACCTGCCAGTTGGACATGTACACCTTACAGTCCTTCCATACACCGAATACACTAGACCTATTGCTTATAGTATCTGAGATATGGACTTGACCACGAAAACTTAACCTTGTTCACTGATCCATGAAATGAGGTCGAGGTCAAGTGAAAACTGTCTGACGGGCATGAGGACCTTGCAAGGTACGCACATACCAAATATAGTTATCCTATTACTTATAATAAGAGAGAATTTAACATTACAAAAAATCTGAACTTTTTTTTCAAGTAGTCACTGAACCATGAAAATGAGGTCAAGGACATTGGACATGTGACTGACGGAAACTTCGTAACATGAGGCATCCATATACAAAGTATGAAGCATCCAGGTCTTCCATCTTCTAAAATATAAAGCTTTTAAGAAGTTAGCTAACGCCGCCGCCGCCGCCGGATCGCTATCCCTATGTCGAGCTTTCTGCGACAAAAGTCGCAGGCTCGACAATAAACTAAATTTCAAATCAATATCTTCAGCACGAAGAAAAGAGTCTGGAAAACTGATTTGCCGGACTGACAGATAGACAGACAGACGGACGGAGTGCAAACCTAAAAGTCCCCTTCGACTTCGTCGGTAGGGGACTAAAAACCTTGCAATAAATTCTGAATTTACATGACTAATGAAAAATGGCTGTTGTATTCCTTTAAAACTTACCTTCTCTAAAATTCTTTTTTGATTCTAATTCAACGCTGACTTTACTCCAAGCTGAAAAAAATACAAATAATTATAAATAACATTGTATCAAATGGGAATAAATCATTTCAGGCATTAGTATGACCCAAACTAAAATATAGTTGTAGTGTCTGGGACCCACATATGAAAGACCAACCAAGGTTGGGCGGTAAATATCGCCCCCGGTATTTACCGCCCCGGTCAATACTCCTCAAGTGGTCAATACTGGCAAATACTGGTCAATTGAAATTTTTATGGTTCTTTTGAAAGGCTTAACTATTAATTTTTAGTAAAACATTGATTGATTGAGAAAGTTATTTTAACTTAATTCCTTTGGCATGATTAAGTTTTTAAAAAAGAATCATATTGGTATGTTTTATTAACTATTAACATGATTAATGACTAATTTAGTTCTTAAAGGTAATGATGATATTACATACTTTAGGTATATATAAAATTGCTATATGAATTATTTCAACATTTTTAAATCAAGATATTTGTTCTTGAAAAGGTTTGTTTTTGACAGGTAAATAGAATTACAGGGGTGCGTCTAAACACTGCTAAGGAGTCCTTAGTGCACTAAGGACTTATGATATGCCACTAAGGACTAGATGGGATGCTATTACATGTAATGTCTTTTCATATTATTGTAGATATTGATATTTAATGCATAAAATTCAAATTTTATAGAAAAATAATCACAAATAAATGAGTTATTCAACATTGTTTAGACACGTGCCTGTTTTTCTTTGATATGCCGAAAATCAATGAACCGTTAGACACGTGTCAAATTACATAACTGCTTACACGGGAATCCTGCTATCTGTTGTGTTTAATCGACAATATTGGAAAAGTTGGATACTAATAAATGAATAGTTTTTCAGATTATATTTCAGTTATCAATTTTGATTTGACTTCGCACTGAATAAGTTGTTAAAATTTTATTCATGTTTTTTTTTTTCAGATTCTCAAGAGTATTTTGTAATTATTTCTTGTAAATAATAGATTTGTTTCCAGAGCAATATATCTAAATTTATATTCATATATGAAGACGTTAAGCAATGTATTACTGGACAAAAACGAATTCAATATGATAATAAATGTTTACTACATGCAACCAATATAAGAAAGAAGATGTGGTATGATTGGCGATGAGACAACTCTTCACAAGAGACAAAATGACACAGAAATTAATAACTATAAGTCACCGTACGGCCTTCAACAATGAGTAAAGCATATACAACATAGTCATTATTTCATACAATATCTTAAACAGACAATTTGGTTAAAAAATACAAATCGGATTTCCTTCTGACATACTTGTTCTTCTTAAAGAAAAATAGATTTAAAGAAAATATATTTGAAAATATTTCTGTTTGTTTTTTCAAGGATTTATATAGTAATATACTATACAAATCCTTATATTTTTTTTTCATTTTTACACGTGAGAGATTTAAAGTATTCGAATTATCTTGTATTACAAAAAAATGATTATTTTCACATCATGAAAAAGCATATTTTCAAGGCATTCGTACGAAGCATAACCTTTTTATGTCAAAATTATATCTAAAGCTCTAAATTAACACATACGGGCCGGGATATTTTTCGGAAATAATGTGCTAAAAACTGTGGAACATTTAAAAAAAACCATTTGTCTCCTTTATATATTTAAAAATGAAACTTCAAAGTTCGATAATGATATTTAAACTTCTTATACTTTGAGAAAAAAAACAAATGTCGAACAATTACAAAAAGAAAAAATAAGTACGGTATGAAGCCTTTGTAAACAGCTATCAAACTGGTTGAAAACTAGTGGTTTAGAATAACCCCAAGGACGTCACATGATTTTTTTTCCAATTCAATCGTAATTCGTACTAAGTATGAAGCAGTAATAGAAAGTGGAAAAGCAAACACCCGGTTTTGATATTTTTTTCAGAATTTACTCATAAATTTTAATGAAACACGCACCTTTGTCGGAATTAAAATTAAAACAAAAAACTTATAAATATATCTATTCCTTTTGTCTTGGTATCTCTAAATATTACTTCCATGCTCTTACATAAACATTTAACAAGCTGACCACACTCTTAACTTATTAGTTGGCGCACATCAAAGTCGTGCACAAATGGCAAATAACTTTGTCGAGAAAGAAATAAAAAATAAATAAAATTATTTGTCCTTTTAATCATTGCAAATAAGAACAACATATTTAATTATAAATTATTAAACATTAATCTTTTCGATACAATTGTTAATTACTTAAAATAAAAAGATTATGATTGTTTATTCAGTTGTTATGTTATATGGCACGTGTCAATCGGTTCACTGATTTTCGGCATATCAAAGAAAAATGGGCACGTGCTTAAACAATGCTTAATAACTCGTTTATTTATGATTATTTTTCTATAATTTTTTTAATTTATGCATTAAATATCAATCTCTAACTTAATATGGAAAAATAATACATGTAACAGCACCCCATCTAGTCCTTAGTGGCATAGTATACGTCCTTAGTGCACTAAGGACTCCTTAGCAGTGTTTAGACGTACCGGAATTACAGGTGACTGGATTATCAGAGCATTACCTATTATATTGCTAGCAGGTGTCAAAAGTTTAATTACTATAAAAACTACCCCCTAATCATGCTGATAAATGTTGACAAAACAGGAAACAAATCATAAAAGCTATTTTTGAAGACTGTTTAAAACAATAAATTAATTACTGACTTTTTAACAGAATGATAAATATCTTCTAAATGCAGAAAATTGAAGTTTGAAGGATCTTTAATATGCCTCATTTATCCTTTTCACTAATATTTTATTCTGATAATCACAAGTCAGAAATTCACAATTCAGTTTTGAGAGAACTTTTTCTTTGGTTAAGAAAAGAATAATTTTTTAAACCATTTTTGTTTTTTTCTGAAACTATTACATATTATATATAAAACAACTTTTGATGAAATTACTGTTAAGAAAACAAGCTGTCATAGTCCCGTTTTAGTGGTGCCAAGAAATTTGTCCTTTGTATGATTAATATTTGATAAATCTTTATTTAATCATGTTCATGAACAATTCCATAAACTAGATTATGAATTTATCTTATAATGAGACATTATTTCAAGGATCTTCCCTTATATATTCAAAAACTTAAGTAATTAATTGCGACTTTCTGTCCTGTGACTATATCGGTCCATTTACCCAGTAATTGACCAGGTAGGGACTGGTCTTTATAGTATTAATGTTTATCAAAATTTCAATTGACCAGTATTTGCCAGTATTGACCAGTATTTGCCAGTATTTCCCGGTATTTACCACTGGCATGGTCAATACTAGTATTGACCGCTTCTTTGCCAACCTTGAGACCAACAGCTAAAACTTGCAATGATACAAAGACGAGCGGCTCTCTACGTACACAACAACTACAATTACACAAGCAGTGTCACAAACATGTTAAACCAGTTATAATGGCCACCACTAGCTGAGACTTTTAAAATCTAGACTTATTTTATTTTAAAAAGTGATACACTGTCTTGTAGCCATTCCAACCCATGTTCTTGAGCAAACCGACAACAGAACAAGACTAATCCATACAGACATATCCAAACTTCCAAGGACACATACAAATAGTCGAACTTCCCTCAGACAATCATACAATGGAAATTGCTCCCTCAAACTATTATTGAAACCACTCAGTCTGTTGACAGCTTCAGATATCAGCTAGCAACAGCTGTTCTCTCCAGCTTCAAATAAACACACTCAAACCAAAACATGTAAATAAAAGTCATATATTTTTTAATCACAATCTGTATATACAGTAGACTCCGGCAAATCGGATACCCAAAATGTCAGCTAAAAATATCCGATTACCCGATATATTCAATTAGACGATGAATGTTTATTCATTGAATATTCTGCAATAATGAGTAGATATAATCCTGAGATGTTACTAACCCTGACAATTGCTAAATATGTGAAAGGGCTGGAGAATTGAAGGAGTGATTTTTATCAGTTACATCACCACGATGTTTGTGTAAAAAATTATCAGCTTATTATGTAATGATTAAATTTGTTTGCAGTTTTTAAATCCTTTATTTATTAAAATAAATCAAATGTCCTGAAATATTTATGTGAATTATTATCTACCATCCATAGTTTGTCTTTATTTGTTTTGTAAGTAAATTAATATCAATTATTATTATAAAAACTGAACACCACGAAATAGCCAATAGTGCTGAAAGTGGCATAAGACACCAATCAATCAATCAATCTTGAATGAACATCACTAATGATATTTAATTTTTGTTAATACTAATTCCTTTTCATCGATCATGAAATGACTGTCAATTCACAAAAAAAACAAAATTCCAAAAAATCTCAACTCTTTGGTGCAAACATGAAGAGAAATAATAAAGTACAACCCTTGCATAAAGATTGTTACATAGGAAATACATGTAAAGCTCGTAATTATTTAACAGCAGGCAAAACTTATTTTTATTTTAGACAACATTTGTGCTCTGTGTTAATTTGGTCAAAATATTCCTGAAAATAGCCAACATATTTTTCCTTGTGATGTCACACATACATCATGTAAATCATGACCCCAAAGCCTAAACTTATATTTACAAATGTACATTGTCAGATTTAAAAGATACAATTCTAAGGGCACCTTACAAATTTTTCATTGCAGGGTACATGAAGCATAAATCCAGAAATGTAGCTTCTCTTAATTACAAAATAAAAAATTTTCATCCGTAAGAAATCTTCTCCTTAATTACATAATAAATAAATTGCTTTGCCGAGCACAGCTGGATACAACCGCAGAGGTCCAACCCTGAACAGTTGGGGCAAAAATGGACGCAATATTCGCGCTTGATACAGGTCTGAATTTGGATTGTAATTAAATATTTGACACACAAAAGGTTTCTGACACAGAATAACTGTAGTCAAAGAACTTAGAATTGGTTATATGATTTGAATTTATATTCAATTTTTTGCTTTTGTGCAATACAATTTGCTGTTAGGAATTGACTCCCCCCTTCCCCCCACAAAAAAAATAAAAAATTTACCCCCCCCCTTTTTTTTTGCTTTTGTGCAATACACTTTGCTGTTGCGTAATACCCCCCCTATTATTTTATAATAGAATTCAAAATATGGTGTCAAATCTTTCATATGGATTTTTTTGTAAAAAAAAAAAGATGCAACATTTGCAGATATTTTTACTGGTCTTCCTTTATAAATATGCATTTCTTTAAACATAATTTAAAAGCAGTGTAAGGGAGGTAATCAAAACGTATTTGGATTATCGCCCTTACACTGCTTTTAAATTGTCTTAATTGTTCATTAACCATTACTTTATACATAATTTAACAGAGTTCACGAAAATGGTCGGTCCTGTCGGTCAAAATGAGGCTCGGACCAGTATTTTGAAGGCTAGTGCCGGTCCCAATGACCGATGTAAAAACGGCCGTTGTAGTGCATATTTCGGCACTTTTTTACATCGGTTATTAGATGTACCGCAACTGTTTCCAATAAGTGTTTACATCGGTTATCAGATGTATCCGCTGCCAATTTCCGGTACTGGTTTACGGATTTATTATAAACAAACCAAAGCGGCGATCTACACGTGGCCTACTTAATTTGTCCATAGAGCCATCCCTGGCAAACAATCGGCGATTGAACCCTACAATGGAGCAAACAAATACTGTAACAGCCGAGAAAGTGATTCAGATGATGAAATGGATAGTGAAGATGACTTTAAATAAGAACAATCAGAAGACCTGAACTGGTCTTTCATTGTTAATTTGCCTGTGGGTGCGAAGAATAAAACTAATATTAATAAAGTTATTTTTCGATAAAATATGTTATCAATTTTTTTTCAGGATAAAATTGAGAGATTTTGTAGGACTGGCTAAAATTTTGTAGGACTGACAAATAATCATGCTTTGTCGGTCCCATGACCGACGGGTCAAAATAAGTTTTCGTGAACTCTGATTTAAAAGCAGAGTAAGGGAGGTAATTCAAATGTTGTATTTGAATTACCTCCCTTACACTGCTTTTGATTGTTTTGTACTAAAGTATTTGTCCATTAACCAGGACACACTTGTTTTTCCTCCTTTTTTGCCCCTAATTCCTAAACGGTTTGAGCCATAACCCCCCCCCCCCCCCCCCCCCCCCCCCAAAGCAAATCCTTACCATCCCATAGTTGTATGGAAACTTGTGGTATAATTTCAGAGAGATCCATATACCGTTCCACAAGTTATTGTCTGGAAACTAGAAAAATGCTTATTTTTGGCCCCTAATTCCTTAACTGTTGTTACCATAACCCCCAAAATTGATCCCAACCTTCCTTTTGTGGTATTTAACCTTATGGTAAAATTTCATAGAGATCCATTCACTAAAACTAAAGTTATTGTGCGAAAACCAATGTGTCTTGGGATGACTACGACGATGCCTACGTCATACCAATATACGACTTATAAAAATTACCATCAGTAAGAAATTTGACTATCTCTTCGTGTTGTGGAAAAGCTTCTTGTACAGGTGGTGGATTTTGTTTATTGTAACCTGATCTTCTACCATTCATTTGATGATGATTGAACGTAGGTTTTGGAGAGCTAAAAGATTAAATAAATATCAGATAGTCGTCATTGTACATGTAATTACACAATTTGTGAATATTTCCAAACTGTTTTGTAAATACTTATATATTAATTTAATACACAAATCACAATATTCTCTAGTTTTGTCTGTTGTGACAGTGAATCACTGATCAATTCATCTGTTGATATATATATATATGTGTGACTGTTTTGTGTATATTTATCATGTTTATATTTAGCTATGTTAAAGGCTGACTTCTAGTCACTTCGGCACCTGGTTAAATCCACACCTGGTCAAATCGGCACCCCATATAGTCAATTCTCACCTAGTTAATTCCCACACAAGGTAGTTATTTCAGCACACATGATTAATATTATGTTTTGTAAGTAAACTATTGGACTCCATTTTTTCCCACATTTTTTTTTAAGATATTTTCGCTTGAGGTGTCAAAGTATATTTGTCACACAACAGAAGTTCCAATGGAAACTTCGTTTTTAACAATGCCATAATATCTGTTCCTACTGGAACTTATATTATCAAGGGACTTCCATTTCATACAACTGTACATTGCTAGTTAACATACATCATTGGTGCCAGCCCTATTCATTCTATATAAGTTAGACTTTAAATTACAATGATTAAAATTGTTATTCTCATATGTGGATTAAACAATAGCTTGGGTAATGGTAGTCCAAATAATTATTCATTATGTATTCTAAGTTTTTAAGGGGCCTTGGTGGCCGTGTGGTCTAAGTAGTTACTACTGTAATCACTAGCCAGTCAACACTGAGGTTGTGAGTTCCAACCCCGCTCGTGCAGGTGCACTCGACTCCAATCTTAATTGACTAGGATTGTCAGTTTTCCTATCGAAGGTTGGTGGTTTTCTCCCGGCACCCTCCACCAATAAAAACTGGCCGCCACGAAATAGCCCAAAAGCGGTGCTTAAAAGTTGCGTTAAAACACCAAAAAATCAAAAATCAAATCTAAGTTTTTAACTGCTTTATCATGTTTATTACATGCGCTGATTTTCTGAACGATGTAGGAAATGTATCTTTTTAATTAACCTCTGCAATTGTACGTTTTGCAAAAAAAAAAAAAAAAAAAATGAACAACTATTATCCCCATATACCCTCTAATAGCTGAAATGCAACACCATGAACACCTGATAAATATGTGCTTTGATGCCTGGTTTATGTGTTATTCGTTGTTGTCGTGGCAATGTCATTGTGACAAGTTTGATAGTCATTTGGTATCTTCCCCCTTTCTTTTTGAAGTCTTAGATGTATGAACTTGGTCTTTGATCATCATGACATTATTTATTATTCCATCAGCATAATTCACAAAACACTAACGATGCTACAGGAAAACTGTTTACGGTTTTAGAATGTCACTTAATTTTTAATCAATAAAAAATAACTTATAATCTTTATTCTATAGCAATACACTAAAACTCAATTAAAACCTTTCAACACAAAACCGTTAAAAAGAGTACAAACAGACCCAGGGTGCGAACATGAATGGGAGCTAACATGATTTTGGGCAAACGGTTCCCGATTCCCCGAAAGACATCTTAATGGCACATTATAAAAGTACAGATTGTTTAATCTCTAAGGAAACCTGTAAAATTTCCATTGCTTCTTATGTAAAAAGGTAGTCCAAATAATTATGACATCTTGAAAGGCTAGGAAGGCGTCAAAGCAAAAATTAAAAAAAGCCTTCCAAGAGGTCATAATTATTTGGACTAGTTAAATGGGTCTGTGAGGTTAGAGGTTTTCTAAAAATTTAAGTCCTTAATATTTTTGTTGATATTATTTTTATTGCATCAGACCAACAAAAAGTGAGATTGATACTGCAATTTAGATTTTACACTATCAAATTTAAAAATACAATCAAGAGTAGTGACATTGTTGTGTTTTAAATCTGCAAATAAATCACATGATCAGAAAATAATCGTCTTAAGGTCATTAATCTTCCAGTTAATAATCCTGTACAAACACGTGTTTCGTAACAACATACGCATTTTTCATTGACAGTTAGATTTAACGATGGCTTTACACTATACCATACATTTAAGCCCTACTAGAACATTTTCTCACCTCATAGTCAATGCACCAGTCCCCTTTTGCTGTTTTTCTACGTCCTTTATTTCAAGGTTGTCTATCGCTTTCGGAGGACCTGTAACGTAAATAAAACTATTTTAAAACGATTCTACGGATTTTTTTCTTTAAAATGGCGTACAACATGATAATGAACCATTCCCGCAAACACACAAAAAAGCAGAAAATATTACCTCTCCTTGTGCTAGAAGCTATTTTACTTGGTCCTCTTGACAATGCATACATCCCCTTATCATATCGCGCAACTTGCTGCGCAAATGAAAGTAAACTCGAGAACTTTCTACTTTTAGGTTATATTTCGATCTATTGTCTAGAAATGCCTCGAACGTAACTGTCGACTTTGTCGTAAAATTGTATAAACTGGTCCCTTAAATATTTCAATCCGGAAATTTCTAGGTGGGACAACATGGAACCAGAACAATTGCGAAAGGGAGCCAACTCTAATTTATTATTTTGTGTAGCAGAAAGAAAAATTTCCTGGAACAGTTCAAAGTGCAAATAATAGACACTGTCAGTAATATTGCTGTGAAAAATACAAAATTTAGGTAATGTACTTTTTAAAGAAAAAGTTGTTTGAAGTTGTCTTCAGAATATTCAGACAGAAAAGTGATAACTGTACAAACTGCTATTGACCATCTGGCATCTGATTATTATCACTATTTACTGTATACATCTGCATGTTTACACTTATGTTTTACAGTTTAATTCGCTGTACAGCGTTTTCCTTGCTAGAATGTTATCTAGTCAGTCTTTAAACATCTTTTTTATTGCTACCATTACTGTCATTAAAAAAGTATGTTGCTGTTGCATTTTTTTAATTTTCTGTATCTGTGGTGCATAGCTGTTCTTTGTTTTTCCTGTGACTATTATACTAGTAAAATAAAATAGTCCCAGGTTTTCCTTGTCACTGGAAGGAGAGCAGCAAGACTTAGTCCTTTTATTAAAGGGGCGTTGCTGGAGCCCTTGACTGTCTTTATGCACATGATCGAACTTATCTTCCAGTTAGTTCCATGATCTACATGTGCATGTATGATGGTTCTTGTAAAGAATGGATATTTAATTCTTTGTATCAGTTATGTGTCAGTTTTACACCATAAAGTTAGGTATGATTTTGAGTTTTTTGGTTTCCTGTCATTCAACGATGGTATCGGGTCCGTTCGCGCCCAATACACGTTCCCACCCTACACGTTCGCACCCCGCACGTTCGCCCCCTAGGTCCGTTCGCACCCTACACGTTCGCACCCTTTTTTTTAATTCAAAAACCTGATAAATTTTTAGATGTTTTGTAGATGTTTATATCATAATATTTTTATTTTCATAAATAAAAATTCGGGAATTTTTAAATGAAATATAGTTTTAAATTGATTTGATGATTAATTATTAAATGTTAATTATGTATGATTACTGCTAATTGGTATTTATTCACAGCCTAATTTGGTGTTATTGTTGAGTGTTTGAAAATCATGATTGTTGTCATGGTTGTTTTAACTTGCGTTGATGTAAATACTGCATGTATTTACATGTAGCTTGGTATGAGTAAAACTTTGAAGATTTTAAATAAAAACATGAAAGATAATTGTTTTTAACTGCTTGGCTCCTTTGATCTCATATGTGTCAGAATCTCACTTTATTCATAAACAATGAAAAAAACTATTTATAGCAATACACTATCCAAACATGATTAAAAATTATTCAACACAAAAATAAAATACTGGTCGTCAGAATCTCACTTTATTTAAAAACAATGAAAAAAAATGTTTATAGCAATATATTTACCATGACACAAAAAAAACCTTGTCAGAATCTCACTTTATTTAGAAACAATGAAAAAATATATATTTATAGCAATACACTTACCAAAACTCGTTTACAAATTATTAAAAACAAAACCAATAAAAAATGGGCGCGAACGTGTAGGGTGCAAACGGACTTTGGGAGCGAACGTGTAGGGTGCGAAAGTGAAAGGGGGCGAACGTGCATGGGGGCGAACGTGATTGGGCGCGAACGGACCCGGATTCTTCAACGATGTTCCTGCTGAGGTATCAAATCACTAAAGAAAGTTTTTGTTTTTATGCCTCATTGCTTCTGACTGGTTTGATATTTATGAATTAGTCAATGAGAGCATTGGCAGCAGTACCTCAGCCATTTAGTAAAACATTACTAGGGGTTGTTGTTTCCTTTAATTTGTTCTTGTTAAGAGATTGTATAATTTCTTATAAATCAGGGGTTGTCAATATAAAATCATTTTCTGCTTTCAGACTATTATCATTACTGGCGTGACTGGTAATGGTTATTTTTAGTTTTTTTTCAGTACTTCTCAAGATTTTTAATCATTTTGTTTGTTGAATCTGACCACACATTTTTGGATGAGTTTATTTTATCATCCTATACATATACATGTATATGTATATGTATATGTATATGTATATGTATATGCATATACATGTATGTTAGCTCTCTGTATTTCAAAACTGATCTTACAATGGATATGTATGCTAGTATTTTGCTCTCTTTAAGGCATTTGCATCTATAGTTTTCTTCTTTAGGTGTAGTACTAAACTTCATAGATTCTACATGCAGTATCTCAAATTTCTGAAATCCCTTCAATTTCTCATAAGACCAGTTAAAGAGATACTTCGCAAAAAAATGAAAAATTGATATTATGTTGATTATGTATAAAAAACCACAAATTCATAAATATTAAAGTTTAATTCTGCTAGATACGAGATCACCATCGATTTTAAATTTAGAGTATCACTTCTCCACGTGCGGCCATTTTGACATCATCCCTGAATAGAAACCACGATATAATCTATAAACCACAAAGGACCAAAACAAGCAGTAACCTAACGTAGCCGTAATTGAGTGTCGATATCTTGTCAAGCGTATGGTTGTTTTACCCGACAAGGAAAGCCTAAACAGTTTCCCGGGTCACAAAAAAAGATTATAATAGACATGGTTGTGCATGCAACCTTTCCTAACTAACTTGATACGGAAAAGTAATTATATATAATTTTTTTTTGAATAACTAGTACTATGGTCTGTCGTTTTAAAACTGTTTTTTTTAATAAGTTTTTGAAACAAGAAATTTTAATGGAGATTAGTTAAAAGTTCAAAGTGATAAATTAAGTGTTCCGTGTAAAAATGTTTTCGAAAATCTAGTGTGTTCATAATTCATTTATGTAATAATTTTATTTAAATAAATTCGGACCTTCCCTTATCTGATCACCAGCATGGCTAAAGGAATTGTTCCCAGAGGTAATGTGAGTTGACACGTCCAGGTATTCAAGTGATTTCCTGTCGGGCTTTAAAACTCTTATTACACAATTACATAAAGCAAGTTCGTGCATCACTTCACCTCTGAGGGTATTGAGAAGTGTACACGGCCGATAACTTGTAACTTTCCATTTTGAAACTATCAGGATCTATCAGGTGAATATACATCTTTGTCTTGCATGTCTGATAGTGATATGCTAGTCTTTACTAAACCATAGATATAATAGCCATTATATATGACTAAACTCATACGCTTGTAAATAAGAATATTTATGAAAATCTAAATAATTCCAAAAAAAGATTTGATAAAATAAAAATATATTTACATATTTTCCAAACGTAAATTGGGGAAAATGTAAGTAATTACTCGTTGTCAATAATTATGGACATTTTGAAACGTACAAATATTGATTTAACAAAATGTACGCACTTGTCGATCATTGGATTATACGCCTAGATAGAAGGTTACGGAACTATAGATAGTCGCAATTTAGAATATATACATGATTTTTGTTGCTTAATTGCTTAATTGCTTCAAGTTTTGTTACCCTATATCTGTATACATATTCTTCTACCAAATTTCAATTGCTTTCTCATACTTGTAGCCCTCTTTATGGCTTCAGGGGGAATTCTTGAAGGTTTATTCACTTGTCAGGGCTAAAATGAAAAATGGAATTTGGTCCATTTACTCAAGACAATCCTTTGCCATATACATTTCAGAATCTTCCAAACTTTTGTAGATGATGAAAGTTAAATGCATGCATACTCTGAACATACTACAAATTAAAGCAATGTTCATCTCTGTACAATATCCAATTCAAAAGATGGTAAGGGAGACTAGTACCAGGGAAAAGGCTGGGATCCTATTCCATGTATGCAAAAGGTGAATAACTCTATCTTGTACCAGGGAAAAGGCTGGGATCCTATTCCATGTATGCAAAAGGTGTATAACTCTATCTTTATTATTACGAAACCATTGAAATTCCACATATAATTAACTATAAAGATAATTTTAAATTAATTAACAAATTAAAATTTCATCACTACAGAAGATTCTTTTCATGTCTAAACATCTGAATCTATTTGATAATGCCCAGGCACTAAGTTATCGTCAGTTATACCGTTTAAATCACTTACCAGTACCATTCAAATATCTAAGGTCTCTCTTTGAGGGTCTGGATGGGGATCTTTCATTTCTGTATTCTTTTAAATTTTTAAGTCATTTTATGTCCATTTTCTTTATTTTTGCACCCTACATGCCCTATTATTCTCTAATCTGTATATTACCTACATATTCTCTGTTCTTTATTTTCTAGCCCTTAATTCTGCACTTTTTGCCCATTATTATGTCATGTGTATGTATATTGTAATTTCTGTTTAACGCAAAAAGTTTTTTTCATGGTCCATTGGTCTGATCTTGTCCTCATGTTCATGTTTAGCAGTCAATGTTAAGTTGGTAAGATCAGTTTTTAAATCCACTTGTTACACTAAGTAATAACAAAAGAATATAAATATGCTACCAAAAAGAATAGTAATGTGCGATATGAACTGGTACAATCCTAAAATTTCAAAGTTAAGTTCTTTTTAGAAATATATCTTTGCAGTCTCTGTTGTAAATACTTAACCTATGTCATTTTTGAAATTTTAGAATTATACAAGCATTGTTTGGTTTTTAATCGTATAGCTGTAAAGATTGTTTCGGTTAAATAAGAATAGATTGATATGATTCATTTCACATCATCATAATCATACTGATGAAGGATATCTGTTATCTGAAATATTGATTATGATAGATACTTATATTTAATGTTTCCTTTTTAGCTCACCTGGCCCGAAGGGCCAAGTGAGCTTTTCTCATCACTTGGCGTCCGGCGTCGTCGGCGTTAACTTTTTACATTTTGAACTTCTTCTAGAGAACCACTGAATGGAATGAAACCAAACATGGCATGAATGTTCCTTATGAGGTGCTGACCAAGTGTTGTTACTTTGTAGCCGATCCATCATCCAAGATGGCCGCCAGCGGGGGACTTAGTTTAACATAGGACCCTATGGGAAATACATACAAATGTCTTCTTTAAGAGAACCACTGAATTGAATGAAACAAACATGGCATAAATGTTTCTTATGAGGTGCTGACCGAGTGTTGTTACTTTGAAGCCGATCCATAATCCAAGATGGCCGCCAGCGGGGGACTTAGTTTAACATAGGACCCTATGGGAAATACATACAAATGTCTTCTTTTAGAGAACCACTGAATGGAATGAAACCA